TCAAATGGCCTGAACGACAACAAAAGGCAAAAATGGCTTGGCACGGAACGTTATTAATGAAACGAATCGTGTGGAGCGCGCTGTCGACGTATATCGTGTTGATTTTTCTTTCTTTTCTTTTTTCTTTCTTTCAGAAATAAATCTAAATGGGAAGACGATGATAAAACGGAAGGTGATAAAAGTTGGAGATGGTCGGAATCTCCCGAACCCGAGATAGAGCATCGTTCGAGGAACGTCGAGAAACGGCACTACCATACCGACGAAAGGGAAAGAGACTTTCGACAAAGGTCGACGCGCGACAAACGACTCGATCGGGATACAGTTACCGACAGCGACCAGTCGCCATCGGTAAAACGTCATCGGGCCAAGTGCAGGCGATACAACGACGAGAAGATGAAAGACGACGAAGCTGCTTCGAACGATCGCGAATCATCGAAAGGCTCTAGACATTCCAAGAAATATCAAAGGAAGAGAGGGGAGGAGGACAGCGACGTGTCTTCGCCGAAGAGTTCTCGCAAGAGACGAAATCATCGCTCGTCGAGCCATCATCGATTCTCCAACAAATATTCGAAAAGAGAGAGAACAGACAAAGACAGATACAAGTTGAAGAGTCACAATGAATTATGCCAAGACTCTTGGAAAAGTAGAACCAAAGATGCGTGTGATAAGTCGCGTGCCAAAGATATTTCTGTCGACGCGGCGAATGGGAAATCGAAATGGGACAAGGAAAATTCGGAGAATATTGATTCTGACGGCACGGAATTCTCCGATTCTGAGAGAACACCGTGCGGCAGACACTTTTCGAAAAAAGTTTCCGACAACGAATGGGCTACCACAGATTCTGAAGACGATGCAAAGGAGAATTAGCATAATAGATAATAATTACTATACTTTTTCACATTGAAATATATTCAACGATAAAATGTTTCATACTTGTCTCAGATTCTCTTCAATCATCATTCTCGAAAATAAAGTTGACTTTTATTTAAAATGATACATTATACTTATCATTCAACTCGGACATGTTCGAGTGGTACGTGATATTTATTTAATAAACGAACTGCGTAAGATTAAGCGTAAGATTATGTTCATCGGTTCGACTTGTCTCGTATCAACTTATCAGATAAATTCCTTTCGATTATTATGTTAGGCGAAATCTATTCTCTATCTGCCTGTATGAAATATGATTGCAAACAATCGCAGAGAACAGTGTCTTGTGAACTGATCTAGCAAATTGCCCGCTCCGACTATGGTTTACCTAAGTTTTCTCTTGGCATTGTGTTTCACTTGTTGCCGTCTCAGTCACGGCGTCGGCCTTCACGGATTTCATTTCCACGGTCTGGAAGAGCCACGACCTTTGAGGAAATCGGACCGCGAGAATATAACCGAAGCATGGATCCAGCAACCTGTCGATCATTTCAATCCTCGCGACAATCGCACTTGGCCGATGGTACGTGTTGTCGACGAGGGTCAGCGTCATCGTGTAATCTTGAAGCAGACAAATTTGTTTTTATTAATATTCACATTCGTATCTGGGGCAGCGTTACCTGGAGAACTCGAGGTACTTGAAGAGAAACGGACCAATTTTCATCATGATTGGAGGAGAATGGGCAATATCTAGAGGTTTCTTAGAAACTGGTTTGATGTACGGGCTAGCCACTACTCACAACGCGATCATGTATTACACCGAGCATCGTTACTACGGGAAAAGCAAACCGACCAAGTAAGAAGTTCCATTTTTATTTAAATCTACAGGCCACAAATATTTAATTATCAATCATTGGTCAAACACTCTTCAGAGATACCAGTTCGCCAAGTTTGCAATATTTAAGCGTGGACCAAGCACTGGCGGACTTGGCACGTTTCATCGAGGCGAGGAAAAGGGGGGAAGGATTGGAGAACAGTACCGTGGTTGTTTTTGGCGGGTCTTACGCTGGAAGCGTGGCCACTTGGCTCAGACTAAAGTACCCTCATCTCGTTCAAGGTGCCCTGGCTAGCAGTGCTCCGATCTTCGCGAAAGCCGATTTCTACGGTGAGGAATAATAATAATCTCTCTATAGCTACAGTTGGACAGCTTTCTTCCTTCTTCTTTCAGAGTATTACGAAGTGGTGACCGAATCGCTGCGCAGACACAGTGAGAAATGCGTGGACGAGGTGAGAGCTGCGTTCAAGGCTGTCGAAGAGTTGCTCGTTGCTGAAGATGGCCCGCAAATATTGAAACAACGTTTCAAGTAAATTGCAGTAAATCTGTTAGTTCCCAGGCAAGCTCGCTGCCCGCGCGTTTAAATCACGCGACTTTCCTTTCAGTTTGTGCGACCTGCCCGATGTAAATTCTCCCGACGATCGAGAACATTTCATGAATATTCTAGTAGAGGTATGGTTTTGCTAATCCTCACCGCGTAGTCCTCACCTCTTGAAATTATGTTTCCAATCAGGCGTTTGGTGGTACCGTTCAATACGACAAAATGGAGAATGGCCGAACAATGATTACCGCTTGCTGCGAGAACATGACCAATGTACTTTTCGGCAGTCCTCTTCAGAGATTGGCGCGTTTCGTGTCGAGTGGAAAGAAATGCTTGGAAAACAATTATGAGAAGTTTGTCAAATTGTACAGAAACGAGACGTGGGACGCGCAACCTGACATAAGTATTATACATTTCCTCTCTCAACGATTCGCAAGAAAAAAAGAAAGAAAGAAAGATTTGCGAATCGAGTATGTAGATATTATCTGTTTTCTTATCGTGTCGATATTTTTCCAGTGAGGCAATGGTTCTATCAGACTTGCACGGAATACGGTTATTATCAAACGACGAATTCCAACAAAACGACCTTTGGATCCTCGTTGTCGTTGCGTTATTTTACCGACATTTGCAGAGACTTGTACGGGGAGTAGTACGTATCGCATATTGCGTATAGAAGTATAGCGTACGGAAGGATTTATCCCTTGTCATTTTACAGTTACAACGACGAACTCTTGCATGCCAGAATCAAAAGAACAAACGTAATGTACGGCGGTTTACGGCCAGATTTGCGGAACGTTATTTTTACCAACGGAAACGTCGACCCATGGCATGCTCTGTCCGTTCTCCAGGACTTAAATACACTTTCCCCCGCCATACTTATCAATGGTATTTATAAACAAGATGTCATTTGCCTTCAAGTTGTTGTCGTTACCGAAAAGAGAGAAATGAAAACTAAACAACTGATCTGGCAATCTGCACGTTGTCGTTTCCAGGATCGTCGCATTGTCGTGATTTGTACGGTGACTCAGACGCGGATGTGCAAGATCTCATCCGAGCTAGAGCGAAAGTACGCAAAATTATTGGGAGCTGGATTTCTTCTTAAACTAGTTCATCTCACTCGTCGTTGATCGGCAAATAAAGAAGAGCGATGTGTGTACACATGCGTAAGAAAATATTTATTTCCCCTCCCCCCCCTGATACGCTTTTATTTACAAATGATTCAATTATGCAACGTAAATGTGAGCTGCTCGAAAGCTCGTACCATTTCGCACGAAAATTAATTGCGTCGATTGAGATCGAAATTTCACCGCTCTTGTACATTTTGTTTTTTTTTTTTTTTTTTTCAGTAACGTTTTATATTAAGTTTCGACATAATCGTGTCTCGATAACCTTATATACTATTCATAGAGTGCGCAGTATCGTCTGTTATTCAAAGTGCAATAATGATCAGATTTCCAATGAAATTTCGACCTCAGTCGACCTCGAGCTTTCGAAAAGAGCCGGTGATACCGTACATGGTGGAATCAGTGGATCCAATGTCGGAGCAGCCGAAACCTTGTTTCAAGGCGGAGACCGCGCCTTCACGCGCCTTCTCCGAATACAACTCCAAACACACTTTCATTTTATCGTGTGTCAACAACGTCGGCTTCATCTCTAGTAACTCTTTCCTCCACAGATCTGCGCGAGTAAGTAAAATTATTTCAGCTCGAATGCATAGATGGTTCCTACTTACCGATCATTTCTTTCATAGGCATCGTGCCACCGTACTCTTTCGGCAACATGCTCGTGTCCATTTTGTGATTGATAGCCTCCTCCAGGCTGGTGTAAATTCTCACGCGTTTCTTTATTTTATCAGAGATCAGCGACATGCCGAAATCGAGAGCAAATTTCAACGACGGATGCGCATTGATCGCGTGGACTTCCTTATGCCGCATGGGTATAGTTCGCTGAAATCATCGTCACGCTTGTTACGCTTGCACCCCAAATTTTTCTCGACAGGAACTTGTTGGAGAAAAGGAATGATCAATTGATAAAGCTTCGCTGGGGAAAAGAGGGAAAACTAGCCGCAACCTTCTGCTTTCCTTGAACATGTTGCAAACTGTGGACATGTCTCCTTTCGTTGGACATGTTGCGAACATGTCTCCTTTCCTTGGG